TCGATGGTTTTCTAGATACGTTGCGGTTAATCCAAGTGAGGCTCTCAATAAAATATCTTTGTCTTATCTCTTATTTTATATGGTTTGATTTTTTTTATTGTTCCTTTATTTGCTTCTCAACCGTATGTTAGTTTAGTAAAAAATGAACAATTGAATGTTTGCCATATTCTTAGTTTGATTATGATGTTAAAAATATAGCTCTTGCGCCCAATCATGTTTTGTTTCCATTGAATATGGCCCTGTTCGGGAGTTAGTTGCAGCGACAACAACTAACGATCAGAAAAAACATCCCTTCTTCACCTCTTCTTCATCTCTCAAAATTTTTGTCAGTGCGACTTGAATTTAAAAAATTTGGAGTCGCTTGAGAAATCAGCGATACAACCCAAGCTTTTATTTTGAAGTAGCGATGGTCGCTTGCTTTTTAAAATCAAATTGCCATTTTCTGCGATTTACAAATCTGTACTATTTTTTAATCTTCTTCTCCAATTTACAGATCTATACGACACAAGCCAACATCTCTATAAAAATAAAAACAAAAAAACAAAACTCGGACGTTTTAAAACTAGTCGCTTGTTAAAGTCGCACGACTCTTAAAAGAACATGGCCTATGTTAAACATAATTTCACATTGTGAAAAATAAACTCTTTTTTTTTTTACGATGTTTTTTTTTCCATTCGGTGAATTGATATAAACTATAAACTATTACTATAACATTAGTCTACATAATGAATGATTACATGATTCTATGATTGAAGCAGACTTGAGTTCGATCAAAGTTGATATGGATTCTATCAAACTAATTGTGGATTCTCTCAAATAAAATGTAGACTATATCAAAACTATAGTAAACTCTGTGCTATCGTCAATTGGTATGCTTGCTTCATCGAAAGAACCTTGTACCAAGGAACCTTGGAGTCCATCTAGCTCGGATGATTCGTCCACGGATGAGTATTATTAACAAGATGCATTGCTTGCTTCCGGTCTCAATCCCCTACTTGACATAGTGGCTATTGATGAGTTCTTCAAAACAATTGGTCCGGTTGTTGGAGTTGAGTCTAGTAAAAAGTGCATTATAAGAGCGTTGTCTACATTACCTAAGCTATATAGATATTTGCTGGGCAATTGCTCTTATAAGAGCGTTGTCGGTATTCCGTAAGCTACATGGATATCATGAGGGTAATGGAAGTCAAACAATGAATAATATATGTCTGTTTTTGTGCACAACTGAATGATTGTTTTACGTAAAAACGATTTTGTACAACAAAATAATCATTCGGTTTTACTTATTGCAATTTGTATTTCTGTTTACGTTTGTTGAACAAAGCGGTTTGTCCTTGCAAAACCCTTATGTACACGACCATTTGGGTAAATGCATCGTTCTCTTACTCTCTATCATTTTTATCAAAGCATCATCGTTTATTATCATCATTCACCAAATCATTATCATTGTTCTTCGAGCTGATCCTTCTTTCTTTAAGATTAGCTTCTTGGCTTGATATACCTTTTCCTAGATCTCTTGGTGAGATCCTAGATTAGGGATTTAACTATCCAACAAAATCTAGAAACCCATATAAAGATTGAACATCTCTCAAGATCCTAAATTTGTTTAAACGGCCGGTTTGAAGGTCAATTCAGCTACCGATCCTAAAACAAACAAAATAATTTTTCAAATTTCTGCTCTCGAAAACCTAAAGATATCTTTTTCTCATTTCTTCTTTCTTCTCCACGCCATGGGCAAGTCTAAAGGTAACAATTTGAGTTTCCTTTTGCTTGACTAAGATATTTTTGTATTAACCCATCAATATGTGAGGCATATGCGGTCAAAGAAAGCGTTTTCTCATGTTTGAGTTTTTTTAATGTTTTTCGCTCATGTTGACGAGGATTGAATTATATGATATGAACTTTGTTTTTGCTGCTTTTTTCTAGATAAGAGAAAGGCTGTGGATGAAGTGGATGAGGCAGTGATTACAAAGAAGAAGCATAAGACTGGACATGATTCTATGATTGAAGCAAACTTGAGTGCTATCAAACGAACCGTAGATTCTCTTAAAGAAGATGTGGACGGTATCAAAACTGGTATAAACTCTATACTTGCGCGTCTTGATTCGTCGAAGGCTCATACCGAGGTACCTTGGAGTCCATCTAGCTCGGATGATTCGTCCACATATGAGTATTATTAACAAGATGCATTGCTTGCTTCCGGTCTCAATCCCCTACTTGACAGAGTGGCTATTGATGAGTTCTTCATAACAGTTGGTCCGGTTGTTGGAGTTGAGTTTAGTAAAAAGTGCATTATAAGAGCGGTGTCTACATTACCTAAGCTACATAGATATTTGCTGGGCAATTGCTCTTATAAGAGCGTTGTCGGCATTCTGTAAGCTACATGGATATCCCGAGGGTAATGGAAGTCAAACAATGAATAATATATGTCTATTTTTGTGCACAACCGAATGATTGTTTTACGTAAAAACGATTTTGTACCAAAAAAAATATCATTCGATTTTACTTATTGCAATTTGTATTTCTGTTTACGTTTGTTGAACAAAGCGGTTTGTCCTTGCAAAACCCTTATGTACGCGGCCATTTGAGTAAATACATCGTTCTCTTACTCTCTATCATTTTTATCAAAGCATCATCGTTTATCATCATCATTCACCAAATCATTATCATTGTTCTTTCGAGTTGATCCTTCTTTCTTTATGATTAGCTTCTTGGCTTCATTTGCCTTTTCCTAGATCTCTTGGTGAGATCCTAGATTAGGGATTTAACTATCCAACAAAATCTAGAAACACATATAAAGATTGAACATCTCTCAAGATCTATATTTGTATTTGTATTTATCAGCATTTGTATTTAAAATGTTTTTTTTTTGTTTTTTTCATTTTAATTTTAAAATAACCTATTAAATTTAATTATTTCATGAATTATAAATTTATAAATGTAGAAAGACAAACAATAAAATTATTTACATGTAAGTATAATTTAAATCATTAAAATATTATTAAAATGGAGATATGTCCTCGTTGGTCATTTTGATGCAAAATGCATGTAGATGTAGATGCAAATTGTTAAAAACTAGTACTAAACAAACAAAACTTCATTTAAATGCTTCATCCAGATACTTTCAGATTTAGAAACGAACAATATTTGAACGTATCATCTTAATGGATTATCTAGATGATATATCTAGATGTACAAACGAACAACACCCAAATAGTGGAATACATACGCAGTGAGACTATATATGTTTCTTTGTTGAGTTCGCTTTTATCTCTATACTATTAAAAGAGAAGTACAAATGCAAATGTGTCGGGTCAAAATCATAAAATTGACCCAAAATTCTGAAATCAGATCTTTGAATTTTTTTTAATATGATTTTTAATTAATATTTAAAAATAAAAAATTGAATTAAAATCAAATAAAATCTGATTGTATTTATGGTAACTAATTATAAAAGCATATTCCGAACAATATATACATTAATTACGTATAATATATTTGTTCATATATTTTGGAACTAATTCCATAACAATCAACGTTTTTGTAATTAATTTTGCTTATTTTAGCCAATTATCATTAATTAAAATATATCTTACTTGATTTCTAGAAAACTTATCACAACGAACCCATGTATTTTATAAATTAAAAAAATATTTTTATTTTGGTCGTGTAAATTAAATCTCCATACCATTAAAAGAGAAGTACAAATGCAAATGAGTCAGGTCAAAATCAGAAAATTGACCCAAACTTCTGAAATCGGATATTTGAATTTTTTTTTAATACGATTTCTAATTAATATTTAATAAAATCGAATTAAAATCAAATATTTATGGAAATCAAATAAAATCTGATTGTATTTATGGTAACTAATTATAAAAGTATATTCCGAACAATACTATACATTAATTACGTATAATATATTTGTACATATATTTTGGGACTAATTCTATAACAATCAACGTTTTTGTCATTAATTTTGCTTATTTTAGCCAATTATCATTAATTGAAATATATCTTACTTGATTTCTAGAAAATTTATCACAACTAAACCATCTATTTTATAAATTAAAAAAATATTTTTATTTTGGTCGTGTAAATTAAATAGATATGAAATCCATGTAACTAATTTTAATTTAATTAGATTAAATCGAAACTATGGTATTGTCATACTGATAGCTTACCAAAGAATTTTAATTTTAAAGTTATAAAGATTTTTTGAATATGATTTTTAGAATTATTCAACAAGATGATAAATATTTATTAAATTTTGTGAATCATGAAAAATAATAATTAAGTTTTAATCATTATATTTCACCTTTCAAAGTTTCAATCTCTCATCTAACAAATAAGATACATATTCCATTTTCCTATGTCCAAATTCTATTTTGTTGTATGACTAAATAATATTCCCATTAGAGCTGTCAAAGCGAGTTGATTCGTCCCTTTAAGCCCGTTTTGTGATAGGCAAAATATATTTTGACATATAATTAGTCGGTCCACACGACCCACAGGTAGCATATATGAAACACAAACCCGTCCCGCGAATGTATGCTGATTTGCGGGGTTGTTCGTGGGTTTTTGTTTAAATAGTTTTAAAGTAACGAAAATTTAAAATACTACTAAAATAAATTAAAAAAATTTAGAGAAAAAAATTTTATATATCATTATATTTATAAATATTATAATTTCATTTATTAAAAGTTTTTTAAATTACCAAATGTTGAATAAATTATATTTTTATCAATAAATACTAACATGCGGGCTGATCCGCCAACCCGCGGACGAAAACCGATTAAAACCTATGATCCACTACGAATCAATCCATGTTGCCCGTTTATTTTATGGGTTTAATATATTTTCCCAAATCTGCCCCATAGTGAGATGATTTGGGCTCGAGACGGTTTTTGACCTATTTTGACTGCTCTAATTCCTATGAATCATCTAATTTTAAAATCTTAAAACATAAAATTCTATTTTGTAATCATAATTAATATGATCGGTTTAATTATAAACAATTTAACATTTTCTCGAATATTTATAAGTACACTACACGATTCATTCTACTTAAAACAAGGACAATATTAAAATCAATGTAAACTAATATTCTCCCGCGGTGGACCGCGGGTCCGATCCTAGTAACATTATTATTTTGGCCAGTATCCTTACATACAAAAAACAAAAAAAAAAATCAGATAATATTATTAAAAATTATATGTAGCTGGTCGAGAAACAAGTCGCAGCAGTAGCTGAGGCTGGTCTCTATTACTTGTTGATCTTGCTAGAACTGACAATGCCATACACAGGGGGCTTTTCTCTAAAGAAAAAATAAATCACAAATTAGTGACAAGTCACTATTGTTATCAAGAGACCAGAATCAATCATCAAGAACAAATTTATGTACCTTGTGAACTTATGTCTATTCAAAAGCAGACGACGACGACGATAATCGATAAAAGGACCACCACTCACTTCACGATTGATATAGTATTCGTCTCTCTCTTGAGCGTCATGAACTTCAAGATTGCATCCTCCCATGTCACTTCCATTAAGTTTTAAAGCGTCCTCTGTGCCGTGTAACATTTCAATGAAAACATGTCTGTAAAAAGAAAGGGAAAATATATTAGCATTTAACTTTACTTGTCACGAAATTGGAGTAAGAAAGTAGTCACAGACTTTAAGACAGCTGCACCGGCGTCATTTGTTTGAAAATAAATTTTTGAGATCATTCCACATGGACTGAAATGTTCAAGCAATGCTCTCGCGATATCATTCTCACCAAGCGAAGAATCATATCCCTTTACGAAAATCGTGCCACCATCATATCTGAAGTTACGACCAGTGTCAGTGCAATAATTTGCAGGAGAGAATATAATCAATACATCAACATAAGTCTCCAAAACTTGGAAAATCAAATTTACCTCCCCCCTTGTTTTGGAATGAATAAGACTCTCTCGCCTACCTCAGCAGTCTTTGTAAGAGGCTTATCACAAGAGTAAGGACGTGATGCTCGTTTTAGGGTTTCTTTCTCCAGTACATCAGATTCCTTGCTAGAAACATTACTGCTGCTCTCTTTTTTACAAGTATTGGTATCTGCTTTAGCCTGTATATACAAAACAGAATACGATTTTTTTTGTTAATAGGCACTTACATAAGAAAATATTACTATAGAAGATTAACTATTGCTTACCTTTTTATGGGCAGGCTCTTCACCTTCATTACTTTTCTGCCAATATCAACAAAAAAACATGGTTTGAGTTAAAGAATTAAAAAGAATCAGAAACAAGTATCTACAAAGAAGTATCGTCAATGCGGTTGGATAAAGAAACAGCTAGCTTGAGTTCAAAAAGGCACACAACATAAGCAAAATAATGAAAACAGGAGAACATAACAAGACTGAGGTATGAAGTATCACCTTGTGACCCTCAGAGGATGGAGAATTTTGAATAACTGGAATGACATTATTCTTAACAGAAGCAGGTTTCTTTGCAGGTTCCTATAGTTATCACAAAAGAAAACTAAGTGTATGTAATTGCAAATTTATCTCTACTTGTGAAGAAAATCAAATTTATATATAGCAAAAGTGGTAGTAATCACAAAAAATAAGTGATCAAGAAGAGATTATATACTTTGAAAGCGGTAAACATGGCAAGAAAATCCTCCCTTGTGAGCAGCAAATCAAGTGTTGATTTCACAGAGTTCACAGTTGCTTTGAGAGAATCCACATCTTCTTTGAGAGAATCTATCTTTAATTTGATGGAAGCAATCTGTAGATTTTATAGAAATCTGTTAGAGAGAGTGAAAAAAAAGTAGTCATTGTATCATTTAAGAACACTCGCCTTCTTCTTCTTCTTAGATTTTTCAATCTTATGCCTCTTCTTTGGGTTCACTGTCTCCAATTCATCTGAAGGAGAGAGCAGCAGTAACAAAAAAAAATAAAAAAAAATCATCAAATATAAAATCAACAAAATTCTTTTCAAAAATTTGATATTTACAAGTCAATAATATACTTAAAGCTTATTGTAATCTATGAATCATAAGAATTCACTAATCATGCTGGGGATTTATGAATTTACGGAACCAAGTTCTGAGGATTCACGACAGCCAAAACCGAATCTGACGGAATCGTTAGTAAGGGATTATGTCGGAATACTAGGCTGTCGGGAACCGAAATTCTTACCTTGAGAAGGAGAACCTAAGAGACTCTTGCTAGATTTCCCCATCGATGACTGCTGCTAGGTATTCGAGAGGGAGTGGATTACTAAACTATGGAAGAGCTTCGTCGTATTCATAAAATGATTTTCCATTTCTTATCATGGTTTGGGGCTGGGCTTTTGCGAGCCATGTTTATTCTCTCTTGTCTTGTCCCTCCAAGTTCGGCCCATTATCAAGTTTAAGGCCCAATAAATTTGAAAAGTTTATCAGACTGATTCAGTTTGACTAACAAAATATATTAGTAACTAATTTTTACTTAACCAAACTATATCATGAAGAATATGGACCGGAAAACTCAAAAGATAGATACTAATGGCTGGAAAAAATCATGACTTATTCGAGAAAGAGGAAGAAGAAAAGTGACAAACTTGAGTCGTCTTACTTTGAGGGGAAAGTGTCGCGGACGCCTACAAGCGAAAACGGTACAGTTTGAACAAATGCTTCACTCATAACCGGAGCTAATCGGATTCAACCTTTTTTTTTTTTTTTTTGCTTAACCCGGACGGTGTTCACGGTCAATTAAACTAGTAATTAGCTGTGAGGTTGCGATATAGAAAACTCTTTTTTGGGACAGAAAACAATTGATTTACTCAACTATATCGAAAATGACTACGGTTTTTATACGAGTTACAATAATATATTTTATAGATGTTGAGAAATTGGCTGTCCAAAGTAGATACAAAGAAGAATTAGCATCAATGATATACGTACCATGCATGATGAAAAAAATCTTGTGAAAATATAATGGAATAATCATATATGAATACTTGACCCAAATTAAACAACACAACATACGAATTGGTGTCAAAGATATGAGACGGATTTGATTAATATTTTCTTTATGGGATAAATTTTGTAAAATCTAAAAGTTGTGGATTAAATTTAAATATTTAGATTTACTACTTTGTTAATTTTAATGGATTTTGGATAATTTTGTAAACTTCCATTATAGATGAAAAAAATACTTAAAAATTAGAAGACGACCAAACAATGATCGCTAAGAAAATTGTGAATATTTGTCCTTTAATTATATCGTATTTTGGACAATTATAAGCTTTATTTCACTATATAATGATCTTTTTATTCAATAAGACGAGTATCAATACATCACCAAGAAAAACGAGAAAAAAAACAAAAAGAACTACTGTTTCTTGAGAAGAAGAGGGCCAACGTTATCTCCATTAGCTTTGTTGTGCTTCACATGACTCCCATCACACAATGGAAACGTCCCCGACCTCCAACACCTAACGTCAAATCATATCCATGACCATGATTTTATATACATGCACGCAAATACTTATTCGTACATTTGTTCGTTTGTCAAAAGACTACTAAGAAAATCTTATGGCTTTAGCAAAACATGGATTATAGTATCAAATAAATTGATGTATCATTACTATGCATGATTTTAATAAAAAAATAATTCCATTAGTATCTAACTATGTTAATTTTTCTTTCCATATTTTTAAAAGAGAATTGTGAAACCTGCAATAGGGAGTTATGTTCTTGGAAAGCTCGGTGACGACGACGGAGTCAACGACCTTCTCTTCGTTCTTTCTGATCTCTGGATTGATTCCTCCTCCGCCGCCTTCTGCTCTCACCACCACCATTCTCTGCTGCTTTTGTCCCATCTCTCCCGCGGTGACTCGTTTGAATGGAAGCTGACCGGCGTAACTTAGCCCCGTGCCGAACGTGGTTGCGATGATAGCCATTGGAACGACTCTCTCTTACTCAGCCTTTATGTGGCAGTGATTTGTTTATGAAGTAAGTAAGAAGATATGTGAAAAGTAAAGGGAAATAGAGCTTGTGGCCATCACGCTCCCTCTACTAAACGACGACGTAAAGCAATGTGTATGAGATGGACGAATCGAAATATATGGTCACAAACTCAAATGAGATTTAATTATAGAAACTAAGAAAATCAGCTGGCAGAATTTAATTCTTAATTACATTTAGAATTTAGAAATTTTTTTGAAACATTGATTCAAAGATGAAAGAAGACGCATACTGTTATCTTTTGTAAATGTTCTCAAATTCGTTTAAGTGAACTATGAGAGAAATAGTTCCATACATAGAAAATTTTGCAAAAGAATTCGTAGCAAATTTTTAAATAGTAATTTAGGTTGGTAGTTTAAAATATATGGATACTTTGGTGAATTATTTGTCCAAGCACACTACAAATTAATATTCGTAAAAAAAAGCCCAAGAATAAAATTTTGTAACGAAATATAGCATTTTATTGGAAATTTGTTAGTTAAAAAAAATAATATGAAAATTTTGGCACACACCAAGCTAGCATGCATGACAAACAAAAAGATACAGGTTCGCAAGTTTCAATAGATTGAACTTCAGTGAGTTATATAATCATGTATTATTATTTAATTTGTTTTTGTCCAAATCATGTATTACTTAACAATGTTAACATATCAGTTATATCATTAGTCTTATTCAAGCAGCCTTAAATTTTTGTAACTATAATTTGTGAATTATAAATAATAAGTTATTTTGATAGATATTGTAGTTTCCTACCAAAAAAAAAAAAGATATTGTAGTTCACAAACCGCCGACAAAAAAAAAAAAAAAAGAGTTCACAAACCAATTCAAGATTTGACCCTTAAAAAAAAAGCCAACTCAAGAATGCAATCATAGATCATTTCATGCATTGGGGTTCGAAAAATGAGTGAGGAACATTCAAATAATATTAATGCAACGTTGATACGACCGGTGTATTATGCATTATGTATTTAAATATATCGACACATTTACTAAATACTCATTTATGTATTTATATAAAACTTTTACCAAAAACACAATCAAAGAAAGATATCTATATTAGTATTTTTCAACACTTTGGTGACGGATGGGTAAAAATGCTTCCGGGTAAATCAGATATACGACCCGTTTTAAAAATTTCTTCACAAAAAATTTGTTGGGTCGGGTTATATTTAACCCAACTCATACACCGGATATTTCATATTTAATAATTTAGATATTTAGAAGATTTGATTAAGATTAATAATTATGATTCTTCTATCATCTTTGTTTTATTTGTTTTTAACTGTTTTGAATCATCATATAATATATAAAGTAAGAAAAAATCAATTTTTTTCATGTATATACTGTTATTCGAAATTTTAAAAACGAATATATATTATCCAATTGACGAAAATGTGTGTTCAACGTTCTACATCGATTAAAATATTTAGACAATGATTCAGAATCATATCATAAACAAAAACATTAATACACTAAATGAGTTTTTTTACCGGACGGGTTTTTGAATCAACAATAATAAAAAGAATAAAATATGATTAATCTGCCGCTTCAATACGGATTAAAATCTTTTTTTTTAATACCACAAATATTAGACATATTAATTCAGTCTCATTTTAAAAAGATTGTATAAAACCAAAATTTGTTCCGTGGTATAATGTCTGTGGTCTTAAAGGATGATATGATTTGTAAACTTTTATATATAATAAATAATTATTAAATTTTAAAATAAAAACAAATCACGGGACGGGTTAAGAAATTACGGAACAGGTTATATTTCGGAAATGATTTATATGGCAGACGAATTTGAATCAATATTTATATACCGTTTTAATACGGGTTAAATCCTCCGTTTATTAATAATTGTCTCGTGGACTCGTGGTATACCGTTAATTAATAACAATTATAAACTATAATATAAATAAATACTCCCTCCGTTTCACAAAGAGTGTCGTTTTAAGGTTTTATTTTTGTTTCACAAAGAGTGTCGTTTTAGGTTTTCAATGCAAAATTTAATGATTTTTTATGTTTTATGACTATTAGTATTCTACAAATTGTTTTACTATTGGGCAGATTGTGTTTAAGTATATAGGTAATGATGTTTTTGTTTAGAAAAAACAAAAAATTTAATGTTTTCTTAATCTGTGTGCAAAACTCTAAAACGACACTCTTTGTGAAACAGAGGGAGTATGTTATAAGGAGATATAATTTACAATATATTTTTATACTAATTTTAAAATGAAATTATTCAGCGGTATACCGCGGGTTAAAATCTAGTATATATAAATGAATTCTTCAAGTATTGGTTAACAACTAATTTCGGTGAAAATTAACTTCCAATGGTCCAATACAACTGTAATAAATGAGTGTTATTTTAATTTGTGTCGTGCAAAATGGACTAGTATTTCACTAATTAACATATTTAACAACTATTAATAACAACCATTCAATACAAAAAAAAACTCTTCATTGATTCAATTTCAAAATTTTGGATCTAAAACCAAAACTCTCATCTTAAAAAAAAAAACACAAAATCAATCTGAATTCTGAAACATTTTTGAATTCGCGACGATTCCCAAATTCCTGGGAAAATATCTGAATCCATGGCGACGAGATTCGCAGTGATTGGATTTACGTTCCTCCTTTTACTTGATACATCTTTATCAGCGAGATCTGATGAAGAAACGCGCGAGCGATTTTACGGCAACGTCGTGAACTCGACGGCGCCGGGAAACGGTGAAGGAAGTATCGCTAAAATGTTCGATCGAGTTCTGGAGAAAGAGTTTTCCGATAACGATTCTCCTGAAGGTTAGGTTTCTTCGCCGATCTTCTTCGATATTCTTGTGATGAAGCTTAATATCTTCTATAATCATGTTTTCTTTTCCTTAGGATCTGATGGAGCTAGCTTTAACAGCAGTGTTGCTGATCAACAAGTAGGTTTTAGTTACTTGTTGTTATTGTTTTTGATGTTCTTGAGCTCTGGATTCAGATTCTCCCTTTTTTGATGTTACCAGGCTGAAATTGAGACTGTTGCTAAAGTAACTCATGAGAAGGGCAAAAGAAATGATACACAAGAAAACAAGTATGCGAAATTTTCTTGTAATTGTTGAAAATAGCTTTATATTTTTGATTAGTGGTTCAATGAGGGTTTATGACGTGTTTATCCTAATGTGTCTAGTGGTACGAGACCGTTTCAACTTCAAGATGTTTTTTCCCTGGAAAATGAAGATTCTGATGATATGACTCTTATTGACAAGAAGGTTTTTGGAAGACTAAGCAAGATTTTTTTACTACTGATCTCATCATTTATTTATAGTTGCAGCTAATGTTATTCTTATGCTACTCTGCAGAATAATGTTTTTGTCATGTCAAACAAGAAATCTAAGTATCCGATCCTTCAAGTAGATTTGAGGTTGGTTTGTCTCAGCTTTCCTGTGTATTGGAGATTTTTGTTGCATGCACTATTTCAGACTTGTGATGGATAGGTTCTTGGCATTTCTTTCAGATTAATATCAGATTTGGTGGTCATTATTGTTTTTGCTGCGATTGGTGGCATCGTCTTCTCTTGTCTTGGACAACCGGTACGCAACCTTACATATTAGCATTGAGATACATCTGATATTGGGTTTGTAGTATCTCGAGCTACACACTGTGGTCAATTATCTATTCTGATGTTATGTTATACTCTCTTTATGTGCTTTAGGTCATTGTTGGATATCTTCTTGCGGGGTCGATCATTGGGCCAGGAGGACTGAAATTCATTAGTGAAATGGTTCAGGTATGATCAAAATTGGAAGACATTTTTGCTTGTTAGTTTAGACTTTAGATTATGGCATGCCAACATTACAAGAAGACATTAGTGGACCACTTTAGTTGCGGGGATGTTGTTACATGTATCTATTTTCTGATGTCTCTTTTCGTGTTTTTACAAGTAAGGTTGATTAGAATCAAATTTCCCTACTGTATAGCAATTAGATCTTCGGTGACTCTACATGGCATGCCAATTAAGGTTGGTTAGAATAGAATTCCTCTAGCAATCAGATGTTTGGATAAACTTTTTGCTTCTTGATTGAGCATGTTAATGTTGGCTTCAACATTGAAATTTGTTCTTGTCGTTTGAGTTCAATCCATCAGTATGGGTATAAATGAAAGGATGACGTGGAGCCCCACATTCATACGGAAAAAGTATTCTGGTATTCATATTTTCTGTATCTTCTTCTGATGCTATGGCAGGTTGAAACCGTAGCACAGTTTGGTGTTGTTTTTCTTCTGTTTGCTTTGGGCTTGGAATTCTCAATGACGAAGGCAGGTATCTACTTACTTTTGACTAACTTGAATACAATTTCCTGTCGACTTTGCAATCTCACTCTGATAATCTGTTGTTCTTGTATTAATGCTACAGCTGAAAGTCGTTGGCCCAGTTGCTGTCCTTGGAGGGCTTCTTCAAATTGTCTTACTCATGTTTTTGTGTGGTGTAACTGCCTTGGTATGGCCAAAGATTTCAGTATTTGTGCATATACTGCAATCTTGAAATTATTTTTAGAATTGATATCCCATGACATGTGCAGTTGTGTGGAGCAAGGTTGTCAGAGGGTATTTTTGTTGGTGCCTTTTTATCTATGTCATCAACTGCAGTGGTACTTTTTCTTGTCTTTTTTTTTCTCAAGTTTAATACAAAAGCTACCCTTTTTCCAGTTTCATCTCAGAGTTTCTGTTTTTAATCCACATGTCAATTTGACCAGGTGGTAAAGTTTTTGGTAGAACGGAACAGTACAAGTTCTCTTCATGGTCAAGTTACGATAGGGATACTTATCTTTCAGGTTTCACTCATATCCTTCTATATTTACAAATTGAATATATCGTTTTACGAAGTTTTTGTTTCCTTTAGCTTAATCTTGAATTTTCAGGACTGTGTTGTTGGTTTACTATTCGCCTTGCTTCCAGTTTTGGGTGGTAACAGTGGTTTACTACAAGGAATTATATCAATGGGAAAGCTGTAAGTTGTTCCCTTGTAAGAAGTTTGTCCAGGAACCTCTTATATATCCTCATTACTGTATCTGACATTTCTTCTTCTAATTTAGGCTACTGATATTGTCCATATACCTCACTGTGGCATCTCTATTAACGTGGTCATTTGTACCCCGATTTCTGAAGCTAATGATTCAATTATCATCTCAAGTAAGTTTTAGACGTCATATCTTCATATACACTACTTGACTATCTTTATTTCTTTCTTAAAGTGGGATACGAATTATTGCCAATGTCTCTCATTATATAATGCAGACAAATGAACTTTACCAGTTAGCTGCTGTGGCATTCTGCTTACTATCTGCATGGGTAAGTCTAATTCTGTCATTTCTTTGCATACCGGTATGTGCTTAGCTTTCTGATCCCTTTTGGTGTATTATAACATCTAAGTAAATTGGTACCTGAGCTTGCATCTTACTAATAGACTACAGAAGAAACAATGATGATTACAATAGACACTTAAGTATTCAAGTATAATTAGCATATTGATGTAATTTCCAATTCTTAACTTAGAGTGTTGGTTCCTTGCAAAACTTTTTCAGTGCAGTGACAAGCTGGGTCTTAGTCTTGAGTTGGGATCATTTGTGGCTGGCGTTATGTTGTCTACGACTGAATTTGCTCAACATACATTAGAGCAGGTACTGATTCTAAACTCTGGTCGTTTTTACAGTGCGAGTACTTCTGTACTTGGTACAAAATGAACATTTTGGAATCTCCCTTACTTTGTGGTGTAGGTGGAACCAATTCGTAATCTGTTTGCCGCTCTTTTTCTATCTAGTATCGGGATGCTCATTAATGTGCACTTTCTATGGAACCACGTGGATATCCTTCTGGCGTCGGTGATTCTAGTGATAGTTATTAAGACAGCAATTGCAGCAGTAGTTGTTAAGGCTTTTAGGTACAACATGAGGATATCTTTCCATGTGAGTTTGGTCTCTCTACTAAAGCTTCTGTGAGTTTCTACGTATTAAATTATTGAAACCAATCACCTAAATTTCTTGTCAAAAATGTTATAAATAGGTCGGGGTACTGCTTGCTCAGATTGGAGAGTTCGCCTTTGTTCTTCTAAGCCGAGCGTCAAACCTACATGTAATCGAGGTAACACCCTTTTGCTCTTGTAGTTGAACACTCTCTTTACCATTTTATTCTTCCTAAACTTTGTGACTGTGGGTTTAATATGAATGACAATGTAGGGAAAAATGTATCTACTCCTTTTGGGCACAACAGCTCTAAGTCTCGTAAGTTACCTAATCATACAAACAAGCCTTTCGCATTCCAAGAGAATATACTTGAAATAATATATAGTTCAAAGCTTATCAGTACCTGAAAATGCTGTTACAGGTAACGACTCCGTTGCTATTCAAGTTAATACCGAGTGCAATGAACCTCGGTGTCCTCCTTCGATGGTTCCCTTCTGAGAACAGTGCTCCGAACGAGGTCATTCTCTTTTCCAGAGCTATTTATATTTAAGAACTGAGATAAGACAGGACATATATAAATGAAAATAGATGTACTGATAAAATGCGATGAGTAATTGTATAGGAAACAACTTGTTGTGAGTCTTGTGACTGAGAGTTTTGTTTGTAGAGTTTGCAGGAGAAAGCATCATTGATAGAAGTACATAACAGAACCAAGTGATCTCTCATTTGTACATTGACTGAAGATTTAAGAAAGAAAAAAACAGATTTTGATCCGATAAACTCAACTAGGAGGCAAAAAAAAAAAAACATTTAAAACTGACCAAATCAGATCCAAGACTTGCTTTTTGTATTTTCTTAACTCTTTATTTTTTGTAATATGGTATATATTTAGTATTCACTACCTTCTTGTGTAGTTCAAGTGACTTATAGCTTGTTTTACTTGGTGTAAAAGTTGTAATGATATTAGCCTTATATGCTGTTGAAGCCATGGCTCTTTGTATTAAAAATGATTTTCAAAAGCTCACTTTATTTTATTTGGTTTGGGGTTTTTTTTTTTTTTTTTTTTTTTGGGAAAGTCTGAAAATGAATCCCTTTTTTCTAGAGGTTTGTTTGGATTTCTTTTGTTCTCCCAATACAATGGTATCGTACTATCGTTGATGACCAAAAAAAGGAAAAAATGAATTCGCTTTCGCCAGCCTAGTAAAGTTTAATTAAGCAATAAAATGTTAAGAGCTTTATAAGTAAGCATCTCTTGTAAAATATTCTCATTATTATTTTTCACAATTTAATTTTTTTAAAATTTTTTTATTTAGAAAAGCTACAGAATTTTTATTGGATTACAAACAAACTCATCAGATTTCATTACAAAAAAAATGACCCTAAAGTTGGAACACGCGCTAGCCACTTCCGTCGCTCCGTTGATTCACTCAAAAGTCAAGATTTGCAAAAAGACGAAAAAGCCCCTTATATTTTGATTTTCCAGTATTTTTACTCCAACATTTCACGGATTCGTCACTGCGAATTCTTCCGATTTCTTCACAATTTCACGTGAGAGAGAGATAATGGAAGTAGGATCTGCAACGAAGAAACTTCAGTGCCAACGTATTGGCTGCAACGCCATGTTCTCCGATGATGATAATCCTCAAGGTTCTTGTCAATTCCATGCTTCCGTACGTCTTCTCTCCCCGCTCTTTAATCGATTCTTCTCTTTCTTTGATCAAGTCTTCGCTAGTTTCTGCTAAACCCTTAGAGATTAGGTTATCGATATTTTCTTTGGGAGCTAGCTTTTGAATTTGATTTTATGATGTGAGGTTACGGATTTCGATTTTGATCTTGAGAAGATGATGATTACGCAAGTGTTTAATTAGGTTTTTGATTAGCTGATTACATGTAGATTTCTTATAGTTGTAAGTAAATAAGCCTTGAACACAGCTTTGATTCTCTAATTTGTCAAATTTTAAACTAAGTTGTTTGCTTGCAACCTCTGAATTCAGTGAGCTTATTAGAACACTTGATGGAATAAAGTAAAAGTATAATTGTGTAAAATTGAATAACGCAAGTATTAGATCTTTTGCCACCGTTTATGGCTATGTGAGGGAGAGTGTACATGCACCAACTTTTGAATTGTTTGCTTGCAACTTTCTTCTCAAGTCTATCATATAGGTGTAAGCTTTGAACACAGCTTTAGTTCTCTAATTGTATTGTTTTCTTGAAACCTTTGAATTTAGTGAACTGAGTGATCTCGTTAGACTGTCCCTGGATAAATAGAACAATTCTGTTATCAGAACAATCTATGGAACAAAACAACAATAGAATGCAAGAAGTATACATCTTTTGCTTGCTGCATATAGGAAGAACACTTTATCTCAATATTCTTCTTTAACATTTGGCCTTCTATACTATTGTTTCTTTTATATTCATCTATTGCTTTGAGCTTTTTATTGTAATTAATGTTCTTTTACTATATCTTTTTCCGGTGTGGCTGGCGTTGGTCTTTTCACTGACTACCGGTTTTTGTTCAAGCAGGGAGTAAGTCAAATTTACTCTTCAAATACTTTTTATGTTTTTGTTTTTTGTTTCACATTCATTTGCTCAGAGAATTAAAGCTATAAATGTTCAAACTTGCAGCCATTTTTTCACGACGGAATGAAAGAGTGGAGCTGCTGCAAGCAAAGAAGTCATGATTTCAGTTTGTTCTTGGAAATTCCAGGGTAATAATATCTCCTCATAGTATAAGCTATGATATATCTTTCATGATGTAGGCTGTGGTTTATTGCAAACACTGATACTTTTTTTCTATTTCTTGCAATGAAGATGTAAAACTGGTAAACACACAACTGAGAAACCAGTCCTGGCCAAACCGGCTCCAAAACATCCTGTTGCGGCTCCTACTTCATCTCCAGATGCCAATGCAGCAACAAAAGGCTCTTGCTCCAGATGCCGGCAAGGCTTCTTCTGCTCAGACCATGGTTGGTATCTTTATTCTCTCGGGTTTAAAATTCTCGTTGCACATTGGCGAATGCAAGAATCTCTATCTAACATTGTATCCTTATCACACAGGCTCCCAACCCAAAGAGCAGACCAGGCAGACCCTAAACACCCCGGTACAAGCAGAAGAAGAGAAGATTGAATCCTTAGCACCTCCAATTAAAAAGGTTGTTATAGACATCAATCAACCGCAAGTCTGCAACAACAAAGGATGTGGAAAAACATTCAAAGAGAGAGACAATCACGAGACTGCTTGTAGCTATCATCCAGGTCCTCCGGTCTTCCACGACAGACTGAAAGGAGTGCGTAACGCCTTTCTTTGCTCAGTCAGCTTTTTTTTTTCCTCTAGCTTTTTGAGTTTGTGTTGAATTATATCAATGTTTTCTTTGTGCAGTGGAAATGCTGTGATGTTCACGTGAATGAGTTCGACGAGTTCATGGAAATACCTCCTTGCACTAAAGGTTGGCATAGCAGCAGCCCCGATCAGGCGGTCTGATATTTTTTTATCCTGAGATTTTGAATACAAAGATTAATTATGTCTTTTCATGTTCTATTTGGTTTATGGAATTCTACTTTAGATTTTTGATAGAACATTTCAATTACAGATATATGTAATGGTTAAATGCTCATCTAATATGTGTTAGAGAAAGTTTTGGATCATGATTGTGGGTTTGATTGTTATTTTAAAAACTGTGAGATCTTTAAATAATTTCACCAATATTAGAAGGACTAATTAGTTAACTTTTCAAACGTAGAGACAAATTGCTAATATGCAAAAATAATTTAATTTGCCAATTTATCTCAAAACTTTTGTATTTGTTCAACACTTTGCCACACAGTTTGTCCCTCTTTTTCAACTTCGTTCCTCTCAACGAACGGCTCGAATCTCTCTTCAACGCCGGAGCAACTCTATCGCCGCGGCGGAGCCGTTTCCGATGAGGCTGATAGTACCTCTCCGTGGCGTAATCCACGGCCGTGGCGGTCTCTTCGTCGGCTCTCTCATTCCTTGTTGTCTCTTCTACTTTCTCCAGCTTTACCTAAAACGACGCCGTCCTCCTCCCTCCGACCCGGCGGAATTACCGAGAACGTCGTCACGGACTAATCTCTTCTCTCGTGGAAACTCGATCGGACGAGTTCGAGTCTCCTCTCGAGCGGTTCCTGTGGCTAAACCTCCCGATTCGCCTTATTACATTGGGTTGGAGAGAGTCAAGACGGATCCGTACGATCGGATTAAGAACACGGATGGGATTATTCAGCTTGGATTAGCTGAGAGTACGGTGAGTTTTTGAAAGTTTCCGATGTTTTATCTCTCTCTTTGTGATTGTTGATATGAGGTTTAATCTGATTTTCATTGGGGATTGCTTTTTGCGAGTTTTGTAGCTGTGCTTTGACTTGCTTCAGAGATGGATGTCTGAGAATTTGATGGATTCAATGATGCAATCTGATGATGGTGAATTTGATATTAGTAGTATCGCAATGTATAAACCTTTTGAAGGATTACTGGAACTTAGAGTGGTAAGTGTAGATAACATTCACTCGTTACTCTTCAGTTTCTTGAACATGAATAGATTTTTGCAGTTATTAATTATAGATTTGACTGCAAAATTGTTTTAGAATTTGTTTGATTGATATCTGTTCTTGTATAGGATCAAAGGAATGTTGATTATATATCAGAAATTTGTGTATTTAAACTTGTGGATTTAGTTTTCACAAAATTGTAGCCAAGGAAATTGAATTTCGTCTATTCTATTTATTTTATCATGTTTCAGGCTTTTGCTGATTTCATGTCACGAATAATGGGAGGTAATGTATCATTTGACCCGTCAAACATGGTTATAACAGCTGGTGGGACTCCTGCTATTGAAGTACTGGCCTTCTGCTTGGCAGATCATGGAAATGCTTTTCTTATTCCGACACCATATTATCCAGGGTAATTTTTAGCATACACTTCTTGACCATTTGTATCTGATGGAAGTTTTTGATTTATACGTCAGTCTTCCCTTTCTATGCGATTGTACTAAGGAAACTTAATTTTGCAGCTTTGACAGGGATATTAAATTCCGGACAGGAGTTGAGCTTATACCAGTACACTGCCGTAGCTCTGACAATTTTACTGTAACGGTTTCTGCACTGGAACAAGCTTTGAATCAGGCTAGAAAACGAGGAAGTAAGGTTTCTGGCATCCTCTTTTCAAACCCGTCAAATCCAGTTGGGAACATACTATCTAGGGAGACACTCCAAGATATTTTGAGATTTGCTCAAGAGAAAAACATCCATGTTATATCTGATGAAATATTTGCGGGTTCTGTTTACGGGGACAAAGAGTTTGTTAGCATGGCTGAGATTGCTGGCTCAGGGGAATTTGATAAGAGTAGGGTTCATATCATCTATGGCTTGTCAAAGGACCTTTCAATTCCCGGTTTTAGAGCTGGAGTCATCTACTCCTTTCATGAAGACGTAGTAAATGCTGCAAAGAAGCTGATGAGATTTTCATCAGTGCCAGTTCCTGTCCAAAGGATACTTATCTCTCTGCTATCTGATGTTAGATTCATTGAGGAATACATGAGAGCACACAGGCAAAGGATCCGGGATAAGCATATTCGGTTTGTGGAAGGTTTGAAACAATTAGGAATTCCATGTGCTGAGAGTGGTGGTGGGTTGTATTGTTGGGTTGACATGAGCAGTTTACTGACATCTTACAGTGAGAAAGGAGAACTCGAGTTATTTGAGAAGCTATTGACTGTTGCTAAGATTAATGCCACTCCAGGAACAGCCTGTTATTGTATTGAACCGGGTTGGTTCAGGTGCTGTTTTACCGCTTTAGCTGATGAAGATATCCCAGTGATTATGGAACGGATCAGACAGCTTAGGGAATCATCTAGATCTTGAGGTCGAACCAGAATTTAGGTTAGTGTGATATTGTTATTTATCGGTAGACATTATTTTGGCAAGTTGTTATAGCTTGAAAGAGAAGAAAGAAATAAACGATGAATTCCTTGTTCTGCAACTGAAAGAGTCTGGCATTGAATCTCGCATCTATTTTTACGGTACTGCATATACAAGTTTCTTGTCTATCAAAAGAGAAACGACTTCCGAAATTTGCTGTTTCGGGATACAAATTGTGAGGATCTTTGTAAGTGTTTTCTTCTAAATGAGCTTCAACCTCGGTTGGTATTTTTTCCACTCAAGGCCTTCTATCATTCTGATTCCCGGCACAAAAAGGCAGCAGTTATCAGCTCCATTCTTTGTAAATTCCTGCTAATTTATCCAGGCAAGTGTCAACATTTCAGAATCTTTTTTCACGATTGAATTTATGTATGAGCCTGATATACTATTACTGTGTATTTGGCTTTGGAATAGACTGAGAGAAAAGATATTTGAGAGTTTTACCTTGTAAGGATTCTGCTTTCTCATTTCAACAGCTCTTCTCATATAACTTCTCCTTCGGCTCATCATTATCAGCTCCCCAAGTGTCTGCGGCGCCCTCACAGGAAATCCAATACTCATGTTGTCAGATTCTGTAGTAAGCTTCACTTCTTCATGCAACGGATGAGTAGAAACCTGAACGTCTTCAGAATCAGCAGATTTGACCTTTTCTAATGGAAGAAGACGTGGAAAGAGCTTTTCCAAGAACGAAGCTCCCACAAGACTGGAAGCTCCCGTCATGTAACTGCTCGTACTGTCATCAGATTCATAAGCTGGCGATGTTGGCATCGATCTTGTCACTCTATTCAGGTTGTCATCAAATTCATCCACCGCAACAGCACCAGATATCGAAACCGAGCGGTTTGTTGCTAATAGAGATGGAACAGAGCTGAAGGAATCACTGCTTGCGTCATCAAATATATCGCTGCTGGTTTCAACCTCACCGTACATGGGAGGAGGTGGCAGCGGCTGATCCAACAGCTCAGGTGGATTGGTATCAACAAAGCATGGGTATGGTTGTCCAGGAGTTTCTTCCCAATCGAACGGAACTGAAGTAACCTGCTTAACGGGAACTGGAACCGGAGGCGGTAATGGAGTCGTCGTAGCGGTTTCCAATGGTGGATGTGGAAGCTGAGGTGGGTCATTTGAGGATGGAGGGAGTGGTTTTCCTGGCGTTTCTTCCCAACGGAAAGGAACCGATGTGACCAGTTTAACCGGGACTGGGACAGGTGGCGGAAGCAGAGGAGGAGAAGGCACAAAAGTGGCTAGTGAAGGTTGCCAATTCTTCTTGGGGAAGCCAGGCCGTTCTTCCCAAATGAAAGGAACAGAAGGAGGCTGTCTCAATTGTTTTCGAGGTGGTTTTGTTTCTTTAGGTTCCATTTCAGACATTTGTTCGTATCTCTTACGTTGTCCTCTATATATTTATAGGCTTTTTATGAGTTTGAATAGTCAATGAGATGTTGTGTTAGTAACTAAAACCACTTGGATTTTAAAGCGTGTGTGTCGTGGGATCAGAGCTAACTATTCTTCTTTCTCATGAAGATTCACCTAAACCATTTGGTGTCGTGTCACCAAACTTGTAGATCCACTTCATGTTGACTTTATTTATTTGTCATCATTTTCTGTTCCACTTAATCTCACAATCTAATCCATTAATCTTATCTTCATAATTTTGTTTCAATTGAATTACTAACTCTTGTCATGTCACCATTTGGAGTTTTTGATATATAGTATGAACATAAATGGCGTCTTAAGTCCAAACCCAATTTTGATTTCTCATTTAGGAACACTAGCCTCTTCTTTTTATTTTTAACTCAATCATAAATCATTCAATATAACATTGTTTCTTTCAGATACAAATTCACCAACCCATTAAGAGAACCAAACAAAAAATCATTGAATACTTTTAGTTGTGGGTCATGAATCAATGCTCACCCTTTCTTTATAGTATACGTTCGACCATATCCATATGAATTTTAGAATTTGTTGCAAGATAACAATTATAATATTGAATCTTGAATAGAAGAAAACAAACTTTGTAGAAAATACAGAAGGAAAACTAAATATGTTTTAGGTTCCAAAAATATATTTATAGGAAGACATCAAGGGACAAGTTCCATCATGAACATCTCTAGATTTATTTAGAGAAGGCTTCTTCATCAATATATTATATGGGCTAGGTGATCAATAAAACTTAAGGAGTAAATTGGTCATATACCCACAATATGATGGAAATTAACATGTAACCATTAAATTTGTTTTATCTTCACAAAAAACATAGATTTTAAAAAAATTTCTGAAATCTCGTTAAATTGGGTTTACTAAATACACCAAAAACAATGCAAGCTTAAACCGAGACATTAGGACATATCTTTAACAATTGATTAATGAAAATAATTATGACTGAAATAATGGTAGGGGCTGCGCGAACGCAAACCCCCTCTGCCACAAATAATGACGTAGGCTCTTCCACTTGGGAAGACCTTACGCTAAGCACCCAAGACTAATGTGCGATGTCGGTCGCTAGCATAAGCCACTCGTCTTCTTGATCACGAGTTGACCCCGTCCAGGTAAGTACTTGTATTGTTCACACAAGTTTTTATTTTATACTCAAGTCTCGAAGCCTTCTTTTTTCTTTCAACCGATGTGGGGGGACTCCCTCTTATATTAAGCTCTCTACTTTTCGCTGCCGTTTTCTTCCAGGTTTGTTGAACAGCGTGTCGTCATTATACTACCCGAACGGCGAGACATTTACTTTAATGTTCTACTGGGCTCGTCTCGTTGGCCCACTGTTAGGATCCAATAAACCTAAATTATTTATCAAGCCATTGTTTTGTTACTAATCTTTTTTTTTTTTGGGTGAACTGTTACTAACCTTATTGAATTAACGAATTGTGTGTTATAACTAAAAAAATACATTACTTAGAGAACAATTTAAGTTGTGGATTAAGTCGTAAGGAAATCTTAGGAACGAAAAATATCATGCAGAGAACAATATGTAGAGTTATGGTCAAATCCACAACAACAAAACAATTATAAAAAATTTAGAATTATAAACATACTAAACAGAAATTTACATCTAAAAGGTAAAATTATTTAAAATTCTAATTATATATCAAATCGACACCTTAACGGCTTACTTAACATAGCATATTCATCTTTATACAATTCTTCTGGAAAGAAAAACAACATAAAATTCCATGTTTCCTAATGATCATTAACCTGATTTGAAAACATCATTTCACTTAATTATTTACAATTTTTAGATGGCTACACAGCTCAATTTCCCTAAAACTAATCCACCAAAATATTATGAAAACACTTTAGCTGACTCTTGATCTCTAGCAGGAGCTGGACCCATCTAACTATTTGAGTAGTACTTTTCTTTGTAAAGTCAAAACGAATTTCAAAGCATTTTAGGTGCACTTGATATATTCGACATCTAATATCATCAATATTCATATGTAGAACTTTTTCTGAAATTTTATATTTCTTTTCTAATCTCGGCTCCTTCCAACTAAAGGAGTAAAGCAAGCAACTTTACCTAGGAGATCCTTTTTTTTTTTTTGCTAGCTACCTAGGAGCTAGGAAGCACGGAAGCTTCGTCGAAGGTCCGCTTCCCGCTTTGGAAGCTTAGTCGGAATCGGAAGCTTTTGGAAGCTTTTGGAAGCTTTTGGAATCTCGCTTCCATAGCGTTTCCAAAAAATTTACTTTGGAAACTCGTTGGAAGCTTACGATTCCATTTTAGAAGCTTACGTTTCCATTTAAAAAATTTGATAATCAAATATTAATAAGAAACATGAAATTATTTTTTTATAGTATTTTTTACAATTAAAAGAAACCAAAACTAATTTAAAATTTAAATTTTTGCATACTAAGTTTTTTATTTTATTTTTAAAAGATCATGCTTAACAAAATAACCACGACATAAATTATTTATTTGGAAAATGTTGGAATGAATAATTGACTTAAATAAACTTTGAGAAACTTGAATTTGATGATGTGTTATCGATAAAATAGAATTTGAAACTATTTTATTGGATGGAATTAAGAAAATGAGAGTGAAGATAGTGATCTAAAATTTTGACTTTGAACTATTTTATTTATATTAATTGTAAAAATAAACTATTTGGTTTTTATTTGTAGTTGAAGTATTTAAAATTTATGTATTAGATTTACGTGGTTAATTATATGTTTTAATATTATATAATGCTTAATGTTTTATTATATATGTATATTAATTTCTATATACGCTTCCAACACGTACCCACTTCCTAAAATTTCTAAAAAAATCGCTTCCACGTTTCCAAACGTTTCGCTTCCACGTACCCGCTTCTGATTCCATGCAACCTAGCCTAGGAGATCCATCATAAGTATAACTCTTAACGATACTAAATACTCCCACTTATGGTTCTAGCATCCTAGGACCTAGAGACAATTTTTGCATACGATTTTTTACTATTGTTTTACAAAACATTCAGTTTTCCCAACTTGAATCGGAAAAAAAGAAAACAAAATCAAGACTTTAACAAAAGGAAAAAAAGACCGAATGGGGTCCAACTTATAGAAAATTACAGGTACAAGCTTGGAAAGTCAAAGCTCCACAAAAAATAAAACATTTTTTTATGGCAAATTGCTTTGGGATCCTTGGCAGTTATCTCAAAATTAGCACAACGAGGGATTCATGGTGATATTATCTGTAAAAGGTGTGAGACGGCAGAGGAAACAATAAATCATGTTTTATTTGAATGTTCTCATTTTAAAAAAATATGAGAATTATCCACAATACCTATGGTTTCAGGTTCTTTTCCTCTAAGCTCGGAATTTTCAAATCTAGATTATCTTTACTGGAGGTTACCACCTCCTCTAGATGGGGGAGAAAGAACCAATTGTTTTGCTTGGATTTTGTGGTTCATTTGGAAAGATAGGAATAAAAAAGTTTTCAAAGGAATTCAATCTGATCCCACAGATATTTTAAATCACGCTTTGAACGAGAAATTAATGTGGGAAGATGCTCAGTTGGAACCGATCGAAACTAGTATTGATACGGAAATTTTGGAAAGCCCTATCCAATCTATAAGATGTCGGATTGATGGCTCTTGGAAATCTTCGGATCCAACTATGGGTATAGGATGGTGGTGTTTTCAAGGAAATGATCAAACGATACTACTTGGTGCAAAGTGCCTCCGGAGATCCCCCTCCCCCTTTACTCGGAGATGGAAGCGTTAATTTGGGCCATGAAGAATGTCTTTTCAAGAAGGATTGATTGTCAGGCGTTTGAAACAGATTGTTCAGAGTTAGTCTCGATGGTACAATCACCTGAAGAATGACCCGCTTTCTCTAATCTGCTAGATGCTTTTGGACTGCTCCGTGACTCTTTCCCCTTATTCTCGCTTTCTCTTATTCCTCGTTTATGTAATGTTAAGGCTGACTGCTTAGCCCGTTATTCTAGACTTTTATTTTCCGAAGTTACTTTTGTAAACACTACTCCTCCTAATTGGGCAACCAATCAAGGAATTTTTTAATAATTAATGTGTGGTTGACAAAAAAAAAAAACAAAAGGAAAAAAAGATCAAGAGAAAAAGGAGAAGAAATAAAATAAAATCAATTAATTAAACATAAACTTATTGGTAATTAGGTTTGTTATGACCATTACAAAGAAACTAAAACGCTGTAAAAAAAAGATAGTTCAAAACATGTGATTTGATTAAGTTGGATGATTTTTGTTTTTCGTCTTCAATTTGCATACGCACACTTTTGAGCAAAAGAGTTTAAATGTAATACAAATCACTACCCTATAATCTTCAGTCAAATAATTTAAAAGTAAAAAAATAAAATCTACTTATAAAAAATTAATTATATATGTTTTTCTAAATTCACAAAATTTTGTAGATTGGTATGAATTTTTAAGAGCATAGTTAGCCAGTTAGGCCTCGGCATATGGGTAATCCGTTCGGGTTCGGATAAAATCCGTTCGGGTTAGGGATAAATAGGTAATGAATTTATGACCCATTCGGGTATTTCTAAACATTCGGTTCCGGTCCCGTTCGGGTATCCTCGGATTCGGTTCGGTTTGGGTAAAAACATTTAGACCCTATAAATACCAAAAAAAATATGGATGCCCGTTCGGTTTGAGTGTTTTTATGTAAAATGTCGGGTTTTGTACGTAAAATATCAGGTATCCGAAAAAAACCTTAAAAATTTGTTAAATTTTAATAAATTTAGTTATATTTGAATACGTTTTGCTAAATTTTGACAAAAATAACATTGGTAACCCGTTCGGGTTCGGATAAAATCCATTTTGGATAGTTTGGTTGTTTTGGGTATTTAATTCTAAAGTTAATTCACATATTTAGATTTATAATTCTAATTCTAGACAATCAAATTATATTAAAATTATATATAATTAATATCTTGGATATTTAATTATATGTTCGGATATTTGGGTACTATGTTTGGGTAATGGGTAATACCCGGAGAGACCCGATATCCACGGGTTTACAAAAACTGTACCCAATAAAATAATTTCCTCTTA